AGAAATCGCAGCGTAAACAGGCCTCTGGGGAGAACAGTTTAGAAGTGCAGTTATCCAGTATGGATAAAATTTAGCTAAAAAAAACATATCCACAACAGTTTCAAATCTCTGCGAATTTATTGTTGAAAAAGTCTAGTTCACAAAACTTGTGACAAATACAAAATACAAAATATAAATGTCTACAAATGTAACACACGTCCTACATTTCTTCAGTATCACAGATGACGTCATGAAGTTGACGTCATCTGTAGTGACGTCATATTACGTCACAGTTTGGTCTCCTTGCCGTCATCCATCTCATCTGGTGCGGTACTTGTGTCACTCAGCAGTCTGTGGGTTTTGATTGTCTTTGGTGATTCATATATATGCCAGGAGAAGAAATAACACGTCGTGGCCAGGGCTGTAGGCAGAACAAAATCGATTTGTTAAACACAAGTTTTTTACTCATAAGGCTGGAGTAATACGGGCAACAAAATTGCTGCAACTTGCAACAAAATCTGATTTCAACGCATGTTAAGTAGAAATGTTGACACATGTTGCCTCGTGATTTGTAATTTATGTGTAAACATTTTCAATTAGCATGCGTTGAAATCAGATTTTGTTGCAAGTTGCAGCAATTTTGTTGTAACTTGCTGGCGGAACGCATTGCCGAAATTATTGTCATTGCTGTGATTACAAAAGGAATTTTGCATAGGTAAATTGCACATTTTATAGGATTTGTAATAAATGTTTGAGGGAAGTGTTAAACAGTAAGTCAGTTCCCTCAAGCAGTTCTTACAAATCCTTTAAAACTTAAAATTCACCCATGCAAAATTCATACCGTGATCACAGAAACCAGCTTTATTACCTTTATAATAATTTAGCGTACAGTTACGAAAGTAAGTACGAAATAATTATAGTATGCCCCCGCAATTGAAACCACAGGTGTATCAAAATAACGCAATTCATCTTTTGTGCTTAATAACTTTCGAAATACTATTTCTAGTTAAACGCTTTTAGGCTTACTTCAAAGCCTGTTCTTTTCTCTTTCAAACAAACTATTATCCTTTTCTCCAATGCTAGTAATAATTGCACAGGAAAAGATTTAGTAAAACCTATCATTTTTAGTTGCTGTTTAATTATGCAAGTTTACTATGTAATTGTTTAGTCGGTTTAAATGTTAGAATTTTCTTCTTTAAACTTTAATGTTGTCGTCACTACATCTGGAAAACCACGTAAGAACAAATTAAAAGTATTTTAAAAGAGACCAGGTTGTTTGAAAATCCTAAACGAATGCTAAAAATCGTCAAAACATTCTGGTGTCTGAGCCAGAGTGTCATCGAATTGCGATGTAATGTAAACAGAAATTATAGCAAGTTGATGTCAGTCAGCTTACATGGTCCAAGCCAATATTATATCGCATTTGAAGTTTCAAACTGAGTTAAAAATAGTGGAAGAAAAGCCGTAATTATACTTATTGTTACAATCCATTTAATAAAATGCAACATTTGTTTGTTTTAATGAAAAAATCAGTTATTTTCATGAGAACGATTTGTTATTCCATCTCAATTTTTTTAATCTCCAATCGCAATAACGTAAAGTATTATTAGCCGCGAACCAATGAGTCAAATTTAAGAAACAACCCACTGTTAGAAAGCGAATGGCTACGCTTTAAAATGAATGTAAACTTTAACGTTTTCGTCTATTATTTGTTTAGCAATTTACATTTCAGTCGAGGATTGCGCTTTTTTTGATACGCCCTGTATAACTTCTAATTTTAACATCCACGCAAAAGATTGATTCAGAAACTATACATAGGAAGAGTATGCAACGTTCATGCATCGCCGGACAGAGGCAAGCTCTAATTCAGACACAAGTACCCTTAGCTTACCAGTAACAACCAGACCGAATATGGTCATGCTCTTGCTCATGGAGTTCGTGTGATAATCCCAACATATCCCCTTTCGTCCACATGGGTCTTTCTGCCAGATATGACAGTCACGGTGCATGATATACTTCACAAGATGCGTCGGTATGAACGCCACCAGAATTGTCAGGAATTGTTGGACCGCCAGAGCATAAGATCGCTGGTTGTTCTGAACACATCTACATAGAAAATTAAAGTTCTTTGATATTTTATTTTGTAAAAAAAACACCATCTTCATTTTAGTTTGGTTTATGGAAACGCCACGTTGTATTTATTATTGCAAAGGTATCGATGCTTAAGCCCAGGGGCCGATTGTATAAAAAAAGTGATTAAAGTTAACCATAGTTAAGTGGAAACGTCATCCAATAAGAAGCGCGTATTTGAGAGTTAATCACTATTTAACTACAAAATAGTGATTAAAAAGTTATTAAGAGTTTTATACAACCGGCCCCTGATCTTCATAAAAGTCCTGGAGTCAGTTTTTGAAAACACAATTAAGGCAAACGACTATTTGTTTTAACAAAAGATTGGATAATAGGACTCATCATCGACTCTATCCAGACAAGATTTCTGTAGAATATTTCTAAGTTTGTCAGTAACAATTAGTTCTTGAGGAATTTACTTTGAAGTTCAACGCTAACCTACGATCAGGGTAACCGGCTTTAAACTATAAAGTTAGTTTAAAGTTTCCTCCTGCAGTGAAACGTTGAATCAATGTATGTGAGGTGGCCTTTGCTCGACTTCTCGATGATGTGATGGGCCAAATAACACGTGAATTAATTTAATTATGAGTATTGTGCAAGCATATAGAGTCCACTTAGCTCAAGGGTAGTAGGTATTGTATATTTACCGTAAGACGACGACCCTACTTGGTACAACATTAGCACCAAACAAAACGACAGCCAGGAATGTGGCAAACAGAAACACTTTCCAACTGCCACAACCTCGATCACAGAAACCTTTCCTCGCAGTTCCATATTTCTTTCCTGGGATACTCGAGGGTACACACGTACAATTGTCGTAGTCCTGAAACACATGAGGATATGTTAGGGAACACATGAGGATATGTTAGGAACACATGAGGATATGTTAGGAACACATGACGATATGTTAGGCAACACATGATGATATGTTAGGGAACAGATGAGGATATATTAGGGAATACACGAGGATATGTTAGGAACACATGAGGATATGTTAGGAACACATGAGGATATGTTAGGAACACATGAGGATATGTGAGGGAACACATGATGATATGTTAGGGAACACATGAAGATATATTAGGGAACACATGAGGATATGTTAGGAGCACATGAGGATATGTTAGGGAATACACGAGGATATATGGAACACATGAGGATATGTTAGGGAACAGCTACAACTCAAGTTGTAAGCAGGTTGCATGCGACAGTTTTAGGCAAAAGTTGTGTAGTGTAAATCGGCCTTAATACTATACGTTGTTCGTAAAAGCGACCCGCTTCGTGAAACGATTTACGATAGTATTTCTACTTACTTTTTCCGATATTTTGGCCTTACATCCAGCGTGACATGGATCAAAGTATGCGACATTGTTTGAACCACAAACTGGTTGACTGATAAATGTAGAACATGCACAGGGCTTGTTACATGCCGCTGTTAACTCGCTAGTACCATTCGCACCCATCTTGGACATCGGCTTGCCACTAGAGTAAAAAATATACATCATAATCTTTTCACTAGCTAGGAAATCTTAACTAAACTGGATAGCTCTATCAGTTCTAAACAGTTCTCTCTAGAGGTTCAGTAAGAATCATCTCTTATTGATCCAGTGTTACTACAGGAGGAAATCTAAACTTGAACGAACTTTATTTATACTGGATATCTCTCGCAGTTCTAAAACAGTCCTTTTTAGAGGCCCAGCAAGCGTCATCTCTCGTTGCTCTAATGTTACTAAACTAAGCTACGGTAGCTCTATCACTTCTAAACTGTTCACTGTAGAGGTCCAGTAAGGGCCATCTCTAAATTGGTGGTCGCATGTTACTACAGGAAAAGGCCCTGCAGTGTTTGGCAGAGTCAAGCTGGAAGCACTTTCTAGTAATTGAACTCGATCACCAATACTCCAGCATACATAATACATCCAAAAGCCATCCAGGATTACAGTTTTCAATGTCATAGTGAATATAACTATGAAGAAGTAAATGGCTCACTTACCCAAGAGCGGGATAGTCCTTGGTAACTCCAGCTATATTACTTTCATTACATCCGGGAACAACAAACAGTAGAGGTGCCAGGATGCACAATGCCTGTGTAGCGAGGCAGAGCAATGCCGCTCCTTTGGCGAGAGTTTTTAAACTGATACGATACGTCAAGTAACCACCAATAATTACACCAACTAAATGGGTAAAATATAAAAGTGAATAAAATCCCCAGATAAGGGGACCAGTCATTATTTATGGTCGGGGTGGCACCGAAAAGAAATGTTTTTTGTGGCAAAATTTGTGCTGACCCAACCATTAAAAAGCCAAAAATTTCATTACCCAACCTCAAATATCAATATACCAATATACCATTCAGTTGTAACATATGTCCTTTACCACTTCTGCCACAGGAGTATGATAACGGCTTGTGAAATTTTCTGCAGTCTAAAGTTTCATGTTGTCTGCACATGTACTTTCTTTGGAGACACCATTTGCCTCCTGACAAATCGGAAAATGATCAAGATAGTCACTCTGATTGATTTACATATTGTATTTGCATAATACTGCTGACATTGCTTTTTAGTCTTCAATATTTCAGTGAGTCATGCTTTGGAAATGACAACAAATTTTTATTACCCAACCCTTGAGTTGTTTGGAATTTGCAGGATTCGTAGCGGTCTTTGAAATCCTTGAAAATCTTTGGAAAATCTTTAATTAAGGTCTTTGAAAAGTCTTTGAAGTGTGTGAAAAAGCGAATAAAGTCTTTAAAAGTCTTTAAATTCTTTAGTGATTATTTGATTATACGATTTCCTAGCTAATACAATAGATTGATTGAAGCAAAATTTTCGCAAATATCGACGAAAAAGTGCATTTTAGGATGTGATTTGACAGGACTAATTACCGGGTAAAAATAGTGCTTATACATCGCAATTTTTCGACACCTGATTGCTCTCAAAGGTCTTTGAAAAGTCTTTGACAATAGGCAGAAAAAATCTTTGAAAGTCTTTGAAATTTTTTGATCTTGGAGACTACGAACCCTGATTTGTTTACCCAACCCTTTTCTCTTCAGTGCCACCCCCGTCATGAATAATGACTGGTCCCTAAGTCGATTAACTTTCTTACAGTGGAAAACCTGACACCTACCTGCAAAGCCAAACAGCAAAACTGTCATGACGGGCATAACAATCTTGAATGGATCAGCACCATATTTAATGATAATAATTTGTATCATAAACGGTCCCAGAGCGTAGAGGAAAAATACGATACAAATACTTGCCAACGTGTTGAAAATATATGCTTTATTTTTCAACAAATTGGTTGTTGCATGGAGAACACCAGCTGGAGTTTGTGTGATTTTGTCATCGTTTGTAGGAATATGGCCTGGAATAATATAATAGAGACTTAAATAAACTAAACTAGCTTTATTTATACTGGATGGCTGTACACTCTAAAACAGTCTGCTAAACAATTTCCTTTTCAACTTGTCGGTGTGGACGCCATTTCCACTCAAGAAAAATCTCCATTTCACGGAAAGAAAATTTACGAAAATATGGTTAAAAGTTGAACATTTTCCCACGGAAAATTTCTGTCGGTCAATTTTCTTCGGAGTGGAAATGAGCCAGAAACAATATGCAAAAAAAAAAAGAAATGCATAAAAAGCGTACAATAACCACTGTACTAAACAAATCCTGAACAAAAATGAAAAAACTCGACTGCGCCTCGTGTTTGAAACACATTTATCGTTATTTCAAGAATAAGTTATACCTTTAAGGATATGCTCGTCCCTGACAGCTCGGGAGCCTGGTAGCGAGGCGGGAAATCCAGAAACAATAAGAGCATGGAATATTGTTATTAGACCAAACACAAGATATCCGAGCCACCATGCACCAAGCCAGCGGAAATCCTCTGAATCCATTTGATGCAATAGTTTCGGCTAGAAACAAATTATAACTTTGATTTCAATGAACCGGAGTTGTAGTTGGGCAAAAATACAATACGCACGTGACGGTGAAGGATCAGGTTTATGAATAAACGTTGAGTAACATAGATGAGTTATATTGTTATTCTAATGAGTTTCATAGCAATCTCCCTTCGATAGGCTATGGGCCAAGTTTGTTTGCAAAAATATTGGGTGAAGCAAGGCTCAGGCCAAAGCTCACAGTACCTGATCAATGTCGATGTAACTCTGTAGGAATATACCAGCAGCTGCCATTCCAATGATAGGCCCAATATAAAGAATAGCATACCACAGTAACATTGCTATAGGCATCCACTTTGGCTTGATATTTTCATCAATATAGGCCGGGACAAGACAGTACAGCGGAGCAAGACCTGTCCCAATCATTATTTGACCAATAACAAATGACGCCATATATGAAGATTTCACACTTTTCTCCACACAAGGAAACTGGCTTAGACCACATAAGCCGAATTTGTTAAGAATAAACTCAGGCATGTTTGGCTGCGGATCGTAATCACTTGCTCTGAAATGTGGAATTGAAAAAACTATTGCGCCCAAGCCTAGAGTAAAGAAACGCAGACGATATCATGAATATCACTAATTATCATCGGTTATCTTTGATCAATACCGAGATACAATATCTTCCGTTATTACCATTTAAAAAACGCGATTATATCTGATTGTATCACGATAATTACAAGAAACAAGAAATTAATTATCTTAAGGCATGTTTCACAAATAACTATATATTATAGGTGTGTTTCACAAAGCACTATCGTGATTATATCTATGATTACATCACGATTATATCTATGATTATATACATGACAATTATTATCCGAGCGAGAAAATAATGTTATTTTTTACATTATATGTTGTAGTCTTATACAGAACTGAAATATGTTAAATTTTCTCGTTTTTATAAAGTGTTAATATTTCTAAGGTTCATCCCAATATGCTGTTGCACCACGACACTTACAGAAATCCACCGATAGACCTTCTCGGGAAAATTAAACAATTCAAAATGGCCACTATCGAAATTTTCTTGGGCGATGACTAAGACCCAATGCTAAGACCAGCATTTCTCGCGGGCATCAAGCCTTGTGACGTCATTATGCATAAGGTCTATTACCGATATTCTACGATGCTAAAAGTTTGACAAATTTTTCGAAAGGTTTCACCTCTGACTTACCGCTTAACGCCATACCAGCTCCAATGCAACGTATTTTTCTTGCGCGAAAATTTCCAAAGTAACCAACAATAACAACGGCAACCATTAATGAAATTCCTTGTGCCACATAGAGACCAGTGACGTCTTTGTCCGTGAGGTTATATCGCGTTTTTAATGTCCGCTCAACTGCTGGTAACATGTGCTGTAACAGAACTAGAGAACGAAACTTTGGTTGAGGAAATTGGTAATCGTTCCATGTTTCGCGCACCAATATAGTAAGCGTTATGTAATGGATATTATAGTGTACTGCAAAGTCAACTGGATACCTCCTTATACATATATACACACCCTAACCTTAAACCTAAACCTAACCCTAACCCCTAACCCTAACCTATATTAGTGCGCGAAACATGGAACGATAACCAAGAAATTAATCATTAGGGTAGTTTTCTCTATTCGAAGATGTATGTGTGCCATTATGTATTGCACTGCATGTAAAATACATTGTGAAACTCATTAATAATCCGTGAAGAAAACACAAAAAATCATGACTGTTAAGGAGTTTGTATATCTGATACACAATCATGATGATGTACATGAACTTTATGTTCAATTTTCTCACAAAATATCATCATTCATTTATTTTAAATTGTTCAAGAATACGAATGTTCTCATTAAAACATTTATATCCGATGCAACACGACCGCTGATGTTGTAAATAGTATACCTCTATTTCATAAATAACCAACAAAAAATGTGGATAATCCTTGGATAAACCGTTAATCGACCACTGCAGCTAAATCGGATGTGAACGCAACATTACCTCAACTAAACTGCAGCCTTATTAAGTGACGGTTACTCTGCCCATATTGAAAATAATTTAGTTCTTGAAAAGGATAATAAATCAATGCAGCCTCTTATTTAGTTCAGAGCAGGGGAACCCCCTCTTGGTGATCCCGTCTAGGCTGCTCGATACATTTATAGAGATGTGCCCCTCTGACTGGAAGCTTCCGCCTTCCCCCTCCTGCCCCTAACTTCTCTCTCCTTTCCCCAACTTCTCTCTCCTTCCCTAAACGTCCCCCACCTCCCGCCTCTACCTCACCCTGTGTTTTGCTACATCTGACCAATACTAGCAGATAATAAGGTTGAAGCATAACCTGCATACATAGGGGTGTACCCCTCTGAAAGCCTCCCCCCTCCCCACCCATTTTCTGTCCCTACGTCCTCCCTCTCTAACTCACCCTGAGGTGCAGTATATCCGAGCAGTACAAGAGCACAAACGGAGAGATGTAAGATATTCGTAAACGTCTCAAAGGTTGCAGTGTTGCCTCAAGTTAGAGAACAATCTTAGTGCCCCTCCCTCCCCATACTCACTTTGGGTACTGCTACAGCCCACCAATGTTAGCAGAAACAAGAGAGGTTTGAGCATAATCTGCATACATCCAGGTCGAACCGTAATCCAACCATATTTGATCTCATCATCGCTATAATGACGGATTCCGTTCTTTTTAGGTTCTTCGTTCGCATTCGACTCGCTGTTCAACATCGTGACTCAAGGTTATGGACTTCTTGTAGACTCTCTAGGTAAGAGTAAATATCATTCATTATTTTACACTTCAAACATCGCACTGATTGTTCATCAGTGATTACCGAGTCTCTCACTAATTGGTGAGCGGATTTTCCAGCCGGCTGGTGCTGGTAGTGCTAAACTATAGTCTGTATATAGATACGCAGGACCTTTCCAATACGCATTGCAGGGCTCGAAATGTGAAATCTTCGGCACTACTCCAGTGGGCGGATACAAGAAACTTGAAATAAATCTGGCATTCACCACGAAAATCTGTATCCCACATTTGGCTAGTAATATTCAAACTTTGAAACAACTGATAAATTTAGTTTTCAATTGTTATATGAATTTGAAGATATAATTAATATAAAGGATTCATATACTGTACTGTACCACAGAAAAATACACTATATGCGGAGGACAGAAGCTTGTTTAGTATCCCAATGGATACTTAGCTTGTGATGTCCAGAATCCAAACTTAAAATCTGGTATCCCTTGGATATCGGGATACTGCAAATTTCAAGCCCTACACATTGGGAACGAAGAGAATCTGACAGCGCAAGTTAGGTAAATATCGACAGTTTGGGTATCTCGTTCGATAGAACTGATATTGGATGGGTCATGTTTCGATTAATGTCAATCATGACATCATTTGCATTATCTTTAGCCTGGTAGCTGGCGGGGTTTTAAGGGGTTACCGCAATTCTTAAAACCACCTGCAGCTATTCTATGGCTACATTAGGTTCGGTACATGAAAACGGTTCGACGTTTGAACTTGGCCTTAATCTATAGAGAGGTAACTGCATACGAAAAGGTCAAGAAACCAGACAAAACTTGTCAAGTCGCCACATTGGCGTCGTTTTTTTTTGTTTTTTTTTATTAAATTGCCCAAATTACATAGTTATTTACATTTTTCCCCTTTTGAGATACTTACAGGGGGCTAGAGACCTTTGGAAACCTGTATAGGCTTTTCTATACTTAATGGCATGTAAGTATAAAAACGTAAGCTAAACATGTAGGATATAAAGGATTCATATACTGTAGGTTCAAGAGACAACCTCTTCGGAGAAACAAACCCTAGCTAGGAAACTCTTTGAAGCCATTGGAACTCAGGGTAGTTAAACTGATATAATTGAATGAAAAATCTTTATTTGTATTTGCCATTGTAAACACAGCCTGCACAACATGCCAAGGCCTTGTCAGACGTCTAATTATTCATTTCTTTTGTACTAATTGACCATTTGCGTAATAGACTAAATTTTGATCTCAACAAAAATTTCATTACAGCTCGAAAGAGCATCACAAAATTAGTAATATTCCAAAGTTTCGTTACAAAATGTTGTAAAAGGCGGAAAATATAGCCTTGCGAAATTTGCAATTTTCAGTCATTTTAGATTACAAACCGGAAATTGACAGCCTCGAAGGGTTTGGGGCTGTCAATTTCCCGTTTGTAATCTAAAATGACTGAAAATTGAAAATTTCGCAAGGCTATATTTTCCGCATTTTACAACATTTTGCAACGAAACTTTGGAATATTACTAATTTTGTGATGCTCCTTCAAGCTGTGATGAAATTTTTGTCTAGACTTGTTTAGTTCAAAATTTAGTCTATTACGCAAATGGTCAATTGAGAGCCTTTCGCGTCCTTTATTGTTATCCTCCTAATTACGGATCCTAATTGTGTTTCCTGTTTATACAACGCTGGATCACAACTCAGACCGTCTCGGTCACTAAGTGAAGTATCTTTGCGTATAGAACTATACATGTACATGCGTCAGGCGCTTTCATGTAATAGAACTTTATATCTGTCGTGGTTTGTGTCTATGGCAGCGTTTACACTGTACCGTTTTCGTAGCGTTCTCGTATTGTTCTTAATCCTCAAGGGAACGCAAGACAATAGTCTAGTTCTCTCGAACAATACGAGAACGCTACGAAAACGGTACAGTGTAAACGCTGCCTATATAAACTCCTTCGCCGAGGTCTACAGTAATTGGCCTCAATAGTAATCATTCTGGCAGCTGTTGCCAATATTAAACAATGACTTTATTAAATGCCATGGTGAGTTCGTTCCATGTCACAAAAGCAGTCAAGGTTTCTTTGTATTTTAATTTTTGCATAATGCATATCAATATTGTTTTTCCTCTCTGCTTCATAGTTTTCTTTCCTATGTCAAGAGAATCATTATACAGTTTTAAAATAACGACTTCGTCTACTGTGTATTGCCTAACAAATCTTTCTTTGTCCAGAGTTGTCGAACACCAAGCTTAAATTATGTGGTATCGTGCAGTAATACCTCTAGTCATGAAACTGTATGGCTACGGTAAATTCTAGTATACAAGCGCCCAGAAACACAACCCATTGTTAGTCCTATATGGCTATGCACAAACCAAATCAGCTAGTCACAAGCTTAAACCTGAGAAAGGTGGCCTGCAAAGCAGGCGCTCAGGCTATATGAAAGGGAGCGGACTTATCAACTACGGTCTACGGACATCAAAGTTACCATTTATGAGTATCTGTCACTATCTGAATCGGCATTGATTACTAGATTGGAAAATTAATTGAACGTTTATCTAAATACTGAGTATTTCTTAATTAAATAGAACCAGGACGGCTTAGAGAGTGTCAACATTTCTTCCTAACCCAAAACGTTACCAAATTGGTTGTTTGCGCTACTTTACTATTTTTACAAATGATAAGAGCTCTTGTCACTGATATTGATCACCCAAAACTGAATAATTTACTATTTATACATTTATATTACACCACTAAAACTTGCAGTAATTAAATTACCTTAGGCTATAGCTAAAGCCTGGCGCACACGATGCGATTTTTAGTCGGCCGATAAAAATCGTTTGACATACCGATATACATCGGTGATCGGTATACTCCGCACACAATTACGAAAAAAATATGCTCCCTGAACTGTAGGCGCCATGTTGCCAAATAAATACAAGCACGTGATCACAGCATGAAATCTGATTGGTTATAATTTTTATCGGCCGACTAAAATCGCATCGTGTGCGCCAGGCTTAAAGGTACGTTTACACGCTGCGATTTGTCGGGCCGATTTTGCTCGCTGTATGTAAATAACCTGTCGTCAGTCTCGCGTCAGCACCTTGCGATTCACAAAATCGGGAGAAAAATCTGTAACAAAACCACAGATTTTTCTCACGATTCAACGATTTTTCTTCCGTTGTAAAGTTGTTGAAAACTTTTCGCACGCAGAAAACTATAATATGAATAGACGAGAGAGCGGAGAGCTTCAATTGAATGTTTAAATCGCTAAATCTCGAAGAAGGGGCATCGATTATTTACCAAAATCGGCCCGACAAATCGCAGCGTGTAAACGTAGCTTAAGTCGCTAGAACTGTCGCTGTTGCTACTGCAGAGAAATAATGCATTAAGAATTAGACTGAATATAAATCATGATATCCGGCCCAAACTCGCAAGTCATGCCCAGGGTCTTTGGGCTGAAATTACACTGGCTTGCGAGGTTGATATTTGACCATGTCTAACATATCCGCAGTATGAAGAAGGCAGTTTACTCAAGCATCACCAACAGTGTATCATGTTTGGAACAAAAGTTCATTCACAATGTTTTATATATTTGCATATTGAAAATCTGAAAAATTCTCTAATGAGAACTATTGACTGGCATTAAATGATAATTAAGCTCAAAAGCTATACTGTAAATGAAGCAAGATATTTGCATATACAATACTGATAATCCGAAGATATTAGCATCTTGAAACTCAAGTCAAGATACGAGTCAAAATATGACGAGAATGAATACATATATGACATATCTTGAGTTTTTATTAACATAATATCTTCGGATTATGTTTTGTTTTGTCTTGTATACGTTTTTTAAATTGTCGGCTGGTATTGGTTTTGTTACATATCCAATCCTTCGGCTTCGGCAAAATCAGTTCAACTAGCTTCATAAGGGCCCTTGAATAACGGATTTGTACGCTGCATTTATAATATACAAGAGGTTTAACGTAAACCGTAAGGCCCCAAAATTGAACACAAGACCCAGCGATTCTGGTACAGCGAACTGAGAATCACAGTTCAGTTGTTCTTGTATTAGGTGGTTTTTAGTACGCCGTGGTAAAATGGTAGCCAACTTCACTGTTTCAGAAATGGTTTCCAAAGGTCTCTAGCTCTCTGAAAGTATCTCAAAAAAAATGGTGATAGGAGCTAGGAACCTATTGATAGTGTATCAGTTTGCGGGTAGTTAGTTAAGGCATGCCAGTCTATGAAACACCATTAATCGCATTATGTGGGGTATCTTAATGTTGTGTAAAATGTTTGGACCTGAGGATACGGAAGAGACCAGATCGCCCCAAAAGATCTTTGCTTTGGAGTTTGGTTATTTAATAGTTTTAATTTGCACACAATCCATGTAACCTCAAAATGGTTGAAGAGTGTAAATAGTGATGCATGGTTAAAGTTTTTAATCAAACTAATTATTGACTGCAAAGAGATTGAACTCACAACCTTCCCACGAGTTCAACTATGTCCGATGCCTTTTGTCTTTGAGTACGAGGATTACATGAAAGCCGTTATCAGAAAACAATTGTCTGAACTATTCTGGTGTTTTGACCAAAATGTGAATCTATGCTTTCACTACCAGTGATAAAGTCGAATGTAAATGATAACCAAGTTTAAAAGCTAAATGTTGTTGCTATACTGTCTCTCAGGAAGCTTTTTATGCTAAAATGGTCAATTACAAAACTTTCCAAACTATTTGCATTTTTAAGAGACTCAAGTTCTAAGACTAATTAAGTGGTATCATTCGGATAGGAGCTGTTTTTCCTTGATGTTTAGCACATTACACGAATGGCGTTTATAGAAAACAGGCTAACAAGATTTGAAGCTGAATTTATAAAGTCTTGGAAATTACTCCGTGTAGTTGTTTGTGCAAAATGAACGCGTGGTTGGCAGCATGACAATATAACGTAGGCACACGACTCGTTGTGACAGTAACACGTAAAAAGAAGCGAAAATATAAAAACAGTTCTACATTGTATACGAAAGAAACCCAAACTCTGACATACCTCACAGTTTAAACGCTCTCCACTCTCAGCAAACTTGAAACGCACGCCAAGCGGCCTGAAGACTAAATACAATGTTTGTATGCAAAATAGTGCGTAATATCAAACCATTACTATGATATGCATGACCAGTTAGCGTGTAAGTAATGATTATGATTGGTTCGTATTGCAAGGTCACCATGCCAGAGATCCGGCGTTTGTATAAAACCTGGAAGTTGAAATACTGGAATGAACAACCTGGAATCTTCACTGTCCCATTTCGTGCCACAACATTGTACGCAAACAACGAATTGAAAACACTTTATTATATGAAGTATAGTGCTTTATGGAGATTTCGAGCACTGATAAAACTGATAATTTCACATGTGAAAATTATGATAGTTCACATGTGAAAATTATCGCTTTTTAATAGTATCGTTTTTCTGTAAAAATTATCGCTTTTTAATAGTATCGTTTTTCTGTAAAAATTATCGCTTTTTAAAGACTGTCCTTTATATAATAAACAGAAAAATACATGGATGCTTGGAAATACCAGATTTACTTTTCGTGTTGAACATGATATCTCACTCGTTCGCTGCGCTCACTCTTGAGATATCATGTTCAACACTCGAAATAAATCCGGTATTTCCGCGCACCCATGTATTATTCTCTTACATTTGCCAAGAAAATGTTGTTTGTCAAGCTACAACAGTAGTCTCGTTGGCCATTGCATAGCCTGGTAGGGATGAAATTTGACGTTTCGCCCTTTGTCGGGAACGGTGAGTGTTCCCGATGAATTTCTTCTTGTGTTTTTTTTAGGTATAGTTGCTTCTCTACCTACATCGGCCACAGATCATTCAAGATTACATTGCGCATTATATTCCTGTGGTATGTCATCATGAGAAACCGCAACGTCCTCGGTGAAACGAGGAGGATGAGGCGGTTGATGAGAGTTTGGCAGTTACCTGTCCTTAGGGGCTGTTCAGTACATGATCCCGCTTTGTCGGGACGTGAGGCGGGAAAAATTTTGATGTATTGAAATAAGTCACGGTGCATGATTCAGTAAACACTGAAATGCTTTCCTGAAGCCTGGTTCACATTAGCAATTCTGTCGGCGATTTTTCTCCTGGCAAATTGATCGAATGAATGCCATGCAAAAGACTAAGAATACAGGGTGTCCCCCCAAAAAACAAACTACTGAAATAACGTATTGTTAGAATTTGAATGCCTTAGCAATAAGCTGAACGCAAAGATGTGTAAAATATTGACAGGGTGCATATATTATAAATATTGACTTATTAAGAAATTAAAATATCTTTGTAAAGCACACGATTTTCTGCTCTTGGGAGTTTAAAGCAGCTTCTTAAACAGTTTCTTTATGCATAAAATTTACTTGCGTCAAGCTTTTATGCACTTGTGCGGAGTTCAGCAGATTGCTGAGACATTCAAATTCTAACAATACGTTATTTCAATAGTTTTTGGGGACACCCTGTACTGTAGAGCGATCTCCGATCTTGATGACACGATAAAATGTTCTGAAACTCTAAATAGTTTTAAGTCGTATTTTTATAAATCGTTAAATTTCTGATTTTAATATATATAGATATTAATACTGTGTGATATTATTGTATACTGATAAGTAATTTTATATTTCGAATTTTTTAGTAAAGCATGATTTTGTTCAGGACCTGTCTGAAAATCACGTTATGTGAGTACAGTTTTCCTGACTAATAAAGATCTTTACTAACTAACTAGCGCTTGCACCGTGGTTTGCACAGCTCATTCCCCAGGGA